GTGTGCTTCCTTGCCTGTCTCTCTCTCTGCAGGACGAGAACTCCCAGCTGGTGTTTGTGAACGCCCTGCGGACTCGCCCCTCTGCTGCCCCGCCCATTACTCGGAAGCCCAGCCTGCTGGTGCCCCTGGTGTGTCGCTTCAGCGCCAGGCAGCTCGGGGGCAACGTGGGCTATGAGATCTCCCTGCCTCCCGATGCTAAGGCTTTCGGGCAGTTCCACTTCTGGCTGGAGTTCCACCAGCCCAGCGAGCTGGCACAGCAGGGGCGCGGCCTAACCAGGGCGCTGCGCTCGCAGCTGCTGGACCTGCATGTCTGCGCCAACACCAGCGCCCCCCGGGCTGAGCTGCTGGTGGAGCGCTGCGTGGAGTCAGACCGGCCGGACTTCGCCCAGAACCTCACCATCATCCAGAGAGGGTATGGGGGGGGCAGGGGGAGAGTCAGGGGGAGACAGGGGGCAGACAGGGGAGAAGACTAGGGCAGAGGGCCTGTCCAGCATCGCCAGGCGCCAACTCAGCTCAGCTCACTCTCCTCCAGGTGTGCCGGAAACGACACGCTGCAGGTGGTCACTCAGAACCCGACCCTGAAGGTCTACAGACTGGACCTGGGCAGCCTGTCTTACTCCAGCAATCTGGTGCGTCCATCTGCTCCCCTGTCTGTCTGCCTGTGTGCAAGCCTGTCCTCTATTAATAATCCACCTGTCGCTCTCTCCCTGTTTATAATGAACCATTGTCTCTCTGTCCAGATGTGTGTGGAGTACACTGTGCAGCTGTGTCTCTCAATTCAATTCAGTTCAAGGTGTTTTATTAGCATGACCGATGGGTACAATCAGTGTTGCCAAAGCAAATAAAAATAATAAAATTAACATGGAACAAAACAAAAAATAAAATAAAATCTACAGACATTTACAACAAGGACATATCATAAAATATTTATATATACTGTAGACAGATGGAGCATTATTGGGAGACAGACTCGCTGTTCCTCAGGCTGTGACAGGAGATCACATACTGGGCTGCCAGTTCAACTGAGTTCCCTCCTCCCTCTCCCAGTAGGATTGGGACCCGTTGTGATTCTGGCAGGTGT